GGTGAGGTGAGGATCAGGATGGGCAGCAGTCGGGGGAGTCGGGAGATGGCAGCGGAAAGGGGGGGGGGAAAGAGGGGTTGGGATTGTAGTTGGGACGGAGGGGAGCTGGAGGGGAAGGAGGCGCTGACGTGGTGGAAGTCGGTCGTCCACGTGTCACCGGTCCTTCCACCGGTTCAGGTACGGGAACCCTGTTACGACTTCTCGTCTAGATGATGAGGTTCAATGAACTTCTCACGCCGCCAGCTGCACCGCGGTTCAGACACTTGGATGGCGGAGCGGTAGTGGATCGGCCTGTAGGAGAACTGCAACGGCTGGAGTCACGCCGGCGTCACGGTTACCAAGGAGAAAGGCGCTAGCTTGGATGTCGGATGTATCCGGTCGCCTTGATGGACCAGGTGCAAATGCAGGGATGGGGATGGCTATCCGCAATTGTGGGATAGAGAGAGGGGGAGGGAGGGAGGGAGCAGAGGTTTGAAACCCGCTCCGATACCAATGTGACGCACGTGCGGAGGGCACATGCGGAGATGGTGAGAGAGAGAGAGAGAGTGAGAGAGAGAGAGAGAGGATATGGACACACACAAGAAGCAGCAGCTGAGTGAAGGTCCAGTCCGGCTCAATGGAAGAACGAATGAACAACTGAATGAACCAACCTCCCGCCCTGTGCCTAGGCCGAAGTGATATACCGGCCTAGGTCCAGGTGCAGAACAACCTGGTACCGGACCAGGGTCAGGCCGACGGCCTGAAACTGGTCCGGCCTCACTGCCAGGCCATAGGGGTACCGCTACAGTTTATCCTTGGCAGTGGCTCAACGTTTTTGACTGTTATGACATTGAGTCCCATGTAATCTATACACGTACACAGTTCGGCGCCCTTCTTTGGCACAAACAAAACCTGTGCACCGAACGGTGAGGAACTTGGTCTAATCCACCCCTTCTCGAGCAATTCATCCAGTTGCTTCCGTAGTTCATCAAGCTCTTTTGGAGACATTCTATAAATGGGGC